AAATTCATCAGTGATTCTAGCAAGACTACTGAATTTGGGCTCACAAAATGGTACTTGAAAATTTGACAGCTATTTGCATTTTCATCACCAAGAAGTCATTTAATCACTATAAAAATAAAAGTAACTAGTAGTTGCATTGTACAAATAGTTGTATAGTATAATTCAGTAACAGTAATGTGAGGTTAAATTAAGAAAATATAAGATTTTCTGGTAGAATGAGAAAAATCTCACCTCATAGATTTGTTTGGTTCAACATCATTAGAAGGTTCCCAACTACAAAAGAGTGGAAGAAGGCCAAAGAGTACAAGAGCTGAAAACCAAGATGAAGACACTAATCTGAGTAAATCAGTATATAATAAGAATTCTTCATCTCAAAAATTCCATGTCACTGTGACAAAAATAAAAATAATATCCCAATCATCAATGAAAATGACAAATGCATAAACACACAGACACACACAAAAAATATACATGGGTCACTAAGAGATGAAAAGATAAGGGGATGCCATGAAAGGAGTCTGACTATAAGAAGATTGCTAATTAAATTAATTTCAAACTTAAAAAATTAAAGTACATCATCAAGATGTAGCTGATGTATTCTTGGAGAAAACAAAACAAATAAGTTAAGAGTAAATTTTTGTGTCTTTAGAGAAAAATTGAACATTCATCATTTGTATTGATCAGGATTAAATAATCTGCTAAAAATTAAACAGAGGGCAAAAATGTCAAAAAAGTAATAAAATCATTTTAATAAAATTTTATCTTTATTTATGACTAAAAGGACATAAAAAAGTAAATAAAATATCTGGTTTCTTTTTTCAAAATTTAATTATAGATTAAGAATATCACACTTGAAAGTTACTTTAAAAAATGACCAAAAAAGTCACTATTACTCCATGAAAAAGGTTAATCATCATATCTATTTAATTCAAGAGAGTTAGGAAAGAGAAACACTAAGTTTAAGGCTCCTCACTCTAGATCCAGGATTGTCCAATATTAAAGCATTGGTTTGTAAATTTAGTCACATAGTAATTGTGAGTTCAAACCCTCAGCAGAAATTAAAATAGAAATGAGATAATATATCCTAAGACATGGACAGTAGAAGGAGAACAATCTATACGTATAGATTAAATAAAGGATTCAGTTTGGAATTACCCTGATCAACAGACACTTGAAGAATAGCAGAAATATTGGGCTAATAACAAAAATGAGGACATTAGTCCTTATGGTAAAACAGTGTAACCCGGATATAAGAGACCCGGATATAAAAGAGATGTTCTCTGGTCCCAAATTAGAGCCTGTGTTAATGTAAAGAAACCATTATTTTTGTGTCTGTCATTTACAAATATCATTCACTATAAATTAAATTCTTTAATTCAGTGTCAAATTTCCCAAAATATTATCTGAAAGTCTGCAAAATAATAGTAGTTGACATAATATTACTTGAAATAATATTACTAAGAATTTAAAGTGCTATTAAAAACCATCTGAATTATTTTCCATCATTTCTCTGTGCTATCAGGTGTATGTCTGACAGGATGAAATCAAAAAGGAAAACCAAAGAAAAATAAAAGAAATTTTCTGGAGGAAATATATATAGAAATGGCATCAGATATTTCCAAGGCAAGAATATGTTACATCATAACAGCAATTTCTAAATTTTATATTTTTTAATAAAATTATTTTAGCTCACTTTCTTCCAATATCACTCCAGAAATCAAAATGATATCAATATTCCTCCACTATGTGTGCATGTGCATGAGTAGTGAGAGAGAGAAAGTGGGAGGTCATTTTAAATTTTCTATACTTTTAGAATTCTTTGCAAATAATATATGCTATAAAACTTAGATAGAAAACTTAGACAGGATTATTATCTTTTATTGTTTCTTATATTAACAAAAACTGTTACACAATGTTGTTTCTTTCTAGTTTTAAAAAATAAAATCTTTGATATAGGAGAATTTACATTTTTACTTCTGATTCCAGATTGAAAAGAGAACAAAACCTGCTAAAATTTGACTTATAAAAAGTAATAATTTGAGGTTAAGTTTAGGCTTTTTAAAAATTATATATTTAATAAATGTTTGAAATGTATTTTTGTTACCTTCACAAATTGTAGTGAGCATAAATAATATTGGATTTCTATTGACAGATGAGTGTTGTAGCAGGAATGAAAACATTAACATAGTATGATAGCAAAAAAAAAAGTGGGGCTTAACTTAATACGCAGCCTGGTGGTCGACGTTCCTGGCCTCTGGCCAGGAGCCTGCATATTCGACCGTTTCAGTCGCCGACAGTGAATTAAGTGAGAAAGTCTATGTAAAAAATAAGTCAAGATTAGCTAAAGGAAACTAAAGCCTAAAAATGTCTAGAAGTATATTACAACTAGGTTTGTAATATAAGTAAACTGAAGTAAACTTGCTAGTGTGGAATCATGGATTCCACCCTTTTGCGCGCGTGCGTGCGGATTGCACCCCTTCCTGTCATGTTCAGCTAGATATAGCAGTAAACACTGACGTGAGGAAGGTTGCTGGCTACTCCTGATACCATCTAGGATCAGAATTTAAAATTTTCCCGCGCGTTTTCTGACATCACCAACGAACAGCGTTTTCAAGTCAGTTGCGGCCTGATTTTCAAGCTAGAAGGTCAACTCATTTATTCCGTGCCCCTGACCTACACGTGGGCTGGAATATCTTATTCTTAACTAACCAAACTTCAACATGTCATGTGATTATAACTTTTCTTTGAACAACTTTCGAACTTTCCTCCGTTTTTCTACTAGAAAACATAGAGTTACGACACTGCCGACATCACACTTTTCCAAGATTTTTCCTCATCTTGATGTGAACAACTAGTTGAATTTTCCTCCGTTTTCAGCTAGAAAATGTAGAGACTACGACACTGTTGTCAATATATTTTTCCAAGACCAATCCCTCATCTTGATGCGAACAACTTTCGAACTTTTCCTCTGTTCACTACCAGAGTCTACAACACGGTTGCCATCACACCTTTCCAAGACTAATTTCCTCGTCTTGATGCGAACAACTCAGAATTTTCATACACCTCTTTTGAATTCTAACCTTTACAAACCAGTTTAAAAAAAAAAGATAACATTACACACACATTATCAAACCGCGCAGTGAGTACTTTTCCTATTTGTGTACGCATACACCTTCGTACAAAAAGACAATATTCTAGAACTTTCATTCTGAAGAAACTTTTCCCGCCTTAGCCATCTTGGTTTTTTGTTTTGGCGCGGAACTCTAACATTCTACTAATTACTACTTAATACAATCTGCCTACAGGCTAAAAACAGACCTTACCTTTTTTGATAGTCTCCACTGTTGAGACAAGATTATTTGTTATTAAAATAAAATTTCATATATGTTTTCCACCAGATTGGTTTTGTCGTTTTCTCCTGGCTATCTATATTTTACTATTTTTATGCATGTGTTAAATGACCCTTTTTTCTCACTAAAGATCACTCATTTATTATTTTTACTTTGTTTGTGGATTCGGTAGAAATAAGTAGTGTCTGGCACAAGACAACCTTTTAATAAACCAGCACTGCATGCTACCGGGCCCACAACACTAGTCTCTACCACAGGTTTACAGCGTATAGGGAGCACAACCGAGAGGTCAAGGTCGAAATGACCTGTTCTCTTAGTTTAAGGAGCGAAGGAGGAGGTAACTCCGACGGATGTACAATTAATACTTGAATTTTGTAAATTGTTGAATTCAAGTCACTTCTTGATTGCTTGGTGAATGTTATATATTTCTGAATAATTTCAGTGGATTGTCACATAGTGCAGAGACAAGTTACTTATGAAAATATTTTGCAACAAAAATATAATAAATCAATTAAGTAAAAATACCTTTTTGTCAGACAAACAAATATTGTTTAACGATGAAGAAACAAATGATTTTTACCATAGAAGTAAAATTCATCAGCTGAAATTTCCATTTGTTTAATTATTAATCTTCTCTTTTATTTTCTTCTGAAATTACATTTTATAAAACTCATTGCCAATGTAACAGATTGATGAGATTCATATGAAAGAAAATATATTTTGTATAAATAATTTAAAAAATTATATTTATGCTCTAAATTTGTGGATGAGAAATAAAAAAAAAGTAATTTTATCAGACGTTTCTATGGCTATACTAGTAAAAAATGTCCATGACACTGTTAATAAAGGCAAGGATTTTCTTTTTTTCCCCATCCGGATACAAGTATGATTTCCATAAAGTAAAGTTCAAATATCGACTTATTTACGACAAGAAACGTGTGACTTAAATAACTACATATTGTACTTGAGATAAAAACGTATTTATTAATTTTTTATTTTTATTTTAAGATGCACAAAAGAAAACTAGATTACTTTCATCAAACTGTTATAGATATATAAAATTTTTAAAAATATGGGAATTAACATTCTAATGTTACGCAGGTATATAAATGAATTATTCCCCCTTATTATGCATTCTTTTAAGGTAGAAACAACAAAATAAGTAAAAAAACAAACAAACAAAAAAAACACAAAAGTAAATAAACTGACAAAAAAGAAAGAAAAGTTCGATGGTTTGCAGACCTTACAGACATCTCTTAAAAAAAAAACCTAGTCATATTGATCATCCTCTTTTCTCTAAGATCAAAAGCGGCCAATATGAGTCGACTAGTTACTCAATTCACTTGTGAATACAGCATTTCGGATATGACCATGACGCCGGACAACCACCTGTGTGTAGCCGAAGAAGAAAGTTGTGTATCCAAATACACCTTGACCGGTTTGTGTGTTGGGCGGTTAAAATTGTCCGATTGTTATTTAGGCGGGATTTGCTGTCTCCAGACGTCTAGTGTCAGCGATTCAGTTGATTATTTTCAAACATCAGACGAAGATGATTTTAACAGTTCGGGAATATTGGCAGTACCTACTTCTTGGTGTAATCCTTCTGGAAGAGTTCTTGTTTTGGATGGAAACAGTGGCGACCAATTTGGAATGGTTAAGGACGAAGTGGATACGGCTGAAAATACGTATTGGTCAGTTTGTGATCTTGGCATTGGCAGAGGGTTAGTACTCGCTCGACAAGGACATATAGCTACAACGACTTCTGACAACAGAGTTAAGGTACAAAGATTCTAAGTGAATTTGTTCAGTTTCATTTTATTTCTTGGCTAGTAGTATCATTTTGGTTTTGGAATTTAAGAATTTTTACGATTCTACACTTCGGATTTGGTTTGCAATTTTGAATGTACTAAACTCTTTTAATTTTCAATTACAGTGCGCTCATAATATAAGGGTAGTTTTAAAAAATTATATGATTAAAATTAATGTACAAGAAAAGACAAAAAAACTAAAAAGTTACAAAAGACTACGTAAATTGTGTGGTATGCAGGAATCATTTTTAATTTATATTCGTTTTTAATCTTTAACTTATTTAATTTTCAAAATGCTTTATTTCTTATTTTATTTATTTATTTATTTATTTTTTTACTAAAAGTCTATGTGGTATTTATGTGCCTGTGTCAGTGGGATGTCGAAGTTTTTAACGTCAGAAAAGTATCCAGTCGTATGCTAAATAGAATTGACTGCCTTTCTTTAGCTGAGCATACTCCCCCAGAACTCATTATTTATCTGAGCACACATAATTCAAAATTTGGATTTAAAGTCTTGCATCAGAAATAAATTAAAACTGTTGTCTGAAATACAGTAAACTACATTTCATATATAACAGTGAAGAAATTCACAAATATATTTTTATTCTTAAGTAAACCATACCTGGTTTCCATGATGAAAGTCTTAAATTTAAATAAATTAGAATTAGAATTACAGACCAGAAACCCAAGAAATTTTGTTTCCTCAAAAAAATGCTAGTGTTACTAACCAATGTTTATTCTTATCCTCACATGTGAAGGGAAAATGCTCCCAGAAACGTAAACATTAAGGTTATATTTTTTTTCCTTCTGTGAGCTTTTTCTCAAATTTAAATAAGTAACCATGAATTATTTTCATGGAGATATGTTAGTTGAAATATTGCTTTTCTGATGCAAGATTTTCCGTGTTTAAAAGAGCTAGATCTAACTTTTTCTTTTACAAAATTATGAAACTTATTGAGCACAAATGTTGAATTATTTTTAATGGGGGAGTCTGATAATGTGTACTTAGTATATGAAGCTAGGTAAAGAAATTTATGGGAAATAATTCAGTATTTGGTATGCAGAATTTGTTTCAGATATTTAAATCGATGATACCCATTTTAAGGTAAAAATAGTCTTTTTGTTTTTGTATTTATCTACTCAAGAAAAATTGTCATAACATAACAATCCATAAAAAAGTAGTTTCAAGAATTTATCCATGTATTAATTAAAAAATATATGTGTTCTAAAATTGTAAACTTTTTTTTTAGTCGAATATGATGTTAGATTTAAACATTAAGAAAAAGGAATTCAAGCTTAAAACATTTAAATTATTTTTTTCTAATTTTTCACTTAGAATTTGATTAAGAATGTCATTGGTTTTACTTTTCAAAGTGAATAATTATTTTCAATTTCCTTCCAACCTTTAATCAGGTTTGTTTCCGTAACTACAAGATGGGAGAGAAAGAAAAACCAGTGGGTCTTGTTTGGTACATTAGTGCAATTAGTCCTGATGTGATAATTGTCAGTGATGAAGATCTCTGTGGTCTTGTTCTCTGTAAACTTGATGGAGAAGTCCTCACCTTCTTCACAGAGCATGGCTTTAGTCCTAGTGGTGTTTGTCCTGATCCCTACCGTGGTTGCATCTATGCAGCAAATGGCGAAAGCAATTGTGTTCTACGTTTGACTCCTGACCTTCAGTTAGATGGTGAAGTTATTGGCCCTGACCAAGGCTTGCATAATCCCTTTGTGGTCAGTCTTTCATATGATGGACGCTTTTTGGTGGTAGCAGAAGACACATGGGATATTGGGGAAGATCTGCCAACACCAGTAAAAGTTTTCTCCTTGGCAGGTTTGCAGCTTTTTATTTTTTCATTGTTTTCAGCAAAAATTTTAAACTTTTTCAAAAATTGTATATGACAGCATAATATTTATAGAACTGTAGTATATGGATAGGTGTAACTATATAGCTATTTAAAGGAGTAATTTATTTAATTCCTCTAATTTATAATGATGGAAAGTAACAATCATCAATCAGTTTATTACTCTGATTTTATGAACAATTTTTTCTTCTCAGACAAAATGATGCCTTTGCTGTATATCTGTCGCCGGAATATTCGAAAAATTTTGGGCCGAAAGCTACTCTCTGCTGTTTCCTACCTTGGAGTGCCTAAAAGTCTTCAGAATTATTTGCTTTTTGCAGGTAAGTTCTTATTTACTCTGGCCCTATATTTTAATGTTAGTAGTCTTTGGTGTGCATTCATTACTTTCTTTTATACCAACATCAAAATTAGTGTAAACTAGTGTAGTGAAAGTTTCATTCATCTATACAATGGATTTAAGCTGTGTCAGTCTTTCGTATCATCAACTATGCTTGTAAGTATCAAAGCAATTATTCAATATTGTAAGTGTGTGTATGTGTGTGTGTGTATATATATATAATATATATATATATATATATATATATATAAAACATGTACCATCATCCATAGAGAAACATATTAGTATAAACTGTGCTAATGAAGAAATAATTTACAAACATAATAATTTTTATAATGAAGCTTTAAAGGAGAGTGGATATAATTGTCCCGATATTAAATATAATAAAGATAATAAAAAAAAAAACATAAGAAAAATAGAAATAGAAAAATCATTTGGTACACACCCACTTTTAACCAAATGGTTAGTAGTAAATTAGGCCAAAAGTTTCTTGCCTTGATTGAGAAAATATTTCCCAAGAAATAATCCTCTTAGCAGGATTTTTAATAAAAATATTCTAAAATTAAGTTATAGATGTACTGAAAATTTGCAAAAAATTATAAAAAAAACATAACAATAAAATTTTAAATAAATACTTAAACCTAAATAGTAGTGATTCCCAAACTAAAATCAATAATATCAATTAAAAATTATGTAACTGTAGAAACCCCATAAATTGTCCTTTACAAAATAAATGTCTTACAGAATCTATAGTTTACCAATGTACTATTTCTTCTATTGAGAATCCAAGTAGTGGAAAATTTTATATTGGGAGCACAAAAAATAGTTTTAAAAAAACATTGTACCAACATTTTAGTTCTTTCAACCAACTTGTAACCAATTCTCCCTCTCTAAATATTTTTGGCATTTGAAAGAAACAAATAAAACATCCATGGTAAAATGGGAATTATAATAAAAAAATGTGAACATGTAGGTCATTAAATAACCCATCTTCTCTATGCCTACATGAAAAGTTATAGATTATTAAGTTTCTTAAAAAGAAATATTTATTAAATCCGCAAAATGCAATAACTGTTTCTTGTAGACACTGCCTTATATTCACATTAAAACAAAATAAAATTTGAATATTAAAAAATGCATACTTTAAAATTATAACCTATAATTTAATTACATATAATAGTAAATATCATATGTAATTTATTCCCTAAAATTTTAAATCCAACATTGCCATATCTAATGTACCATAAATTATAATTAGTATTACATTTTAAAAGCATAGTAATTAATTGTATAATATATATATATATATATATATATATATATATATATATATATAATGATTATATCATATATAAAAAGCCCCTTTAAGAAGACCATAAAGTATAAAAAATAAATTAAAAAATACCAAAATAACCCATGGCCCAATAAAAATTTTTTCTTTGAATTTAAGTGTATCTTATAAATGTTCTAAAATAAGAAAGGGAAAATGACGTGTCTATGACACTATAGACAAATGCTCGAAAACCATGAATTACTTACCCGCACCCAAACTCTAACCTACTTTTTTCACTTTCCCAAAACTCGGATGTCTCTCTCTCTCTCTCACATATATATATATATAACAAAAAGAAAGAACAGTCAGATTAATAATCCACAGTTCTTTAGTGTTTATTTTTTTTTAAAAAGTGCTCGATACAAAGTAGAGTATGATATATATATATATATATATATAGTACAGGTAATAGATCCGTTGGTATATAATCTGGGTTTATCCTAGTAACATTAATTATTAAAACTAATCCACAGAGAGCTCAATGTATTTATTATAACAGAGCATATGTATTTAATTACTAAATATTTTTTTTAAAAATCCTCTAAATAAGATATTCAACAGGAAGTTAATCAAAATTAGATACTCCTGCACTGATAATATGTACCAAAATATTAATTCCCATAACAATTACATCTTAAGTAAATTCCATGGTAAAAAAAACTAAATCTAACATGGAAACCTCCTGTAATTGTAGAATTAAGGAAAATTGCCAGTAGAGGGCATGTGCAGATCCACTAGGGTAGTAGTATACCTGGCAATCATTACCCATAAAGAAAATATGACAAACCATAATATTTACATTGGCATTTCTGCAGGAGAATTTAAAAAGAGAGTCAATATACATAAACACTCATTCACCAATCCAAAATTAAAACGCTAAACAGCCCTGATGAAAAAATTTTGGAATTGAAGGAAAAGGGTCTGAATCCTCAAATAAATTGGAAAATTCTAGGTTTCATGAACACCCCCCAATAGTTTTAGGGATAGGTGCAAGCTATGTTTAAAAAAACCCCCAAAAAACAGAATAATAAAATATAAAGCTCAATGCAAACTATTAAATCAATGGAGAGAACTAATCACAAAATGTAGACAGAAATAGATTCAAAATTACATAAGAATACATGTGTATATATGAGGAGTGTATGTGTGCATATAGTGGCATATATGTATGGACATGTAAATGTACATCTGTATGTATGAAGATGATATCTATGCATATAAGTGTGTTGGACAGCATGATTTATTCCATTGGGTGCTCTGGTATTACCTACAATCTATAACTCTATAATTCAACTAGTTTACATTAATCTTAATGGGTTTAAGTTTAAATCACCCATTGCTTGTTAATAAAAAAACTATTTACTGTAAATACCAGAAAAACACACTTGGGGCTTGTATAAAAAATGCTACAGTAGGAACTGATATTAGATTACAAACAATAATAAAGATAGCCGTGTATAGAACGGCTTGAAATAGACTATATTATGTTAAGGTAATTTTTGTTTTTTCGCTATAAAAATATATTATCTGCTCTCTGTTGGCTGGGGCTTCAGATTATCCTGACTGTACCTCAGCAGACAAGTACCCCCCCCCCCGGGCCACCTTTGCACAGGGTAGCAATCTGTGATGTCAGGGGATGGGATCCTGGTGGTTGAGGGTTTCAGCAGTCATGGTTAGGTACTTCCGATTCCCAACACACCACTTAGGCCTTTATCTAGACAGGCGGTTGGCGGAGAAGACCGATCTGATCAATCAACTAAATTTATTTAAATTTGATTTAAAAGAACTGATCTGACGTGCAAATTTTCAGGATAACAACTGAGACATTACTCTATTTATTGAACAATTTAGTTCATGCCACATTGACTACAACAAAAAAATTCTCAAATTGCCATATTAGTAAAAAAAACACACTCTCTTAAATTTAAAAAAAAAAAAAAAAATTCAACCTTAGGGTTATGAATGCATGCTCCAAATGTTTGTATTCATTAACAATAACATATTAAAAAAAAACATATTTCAATTCACATTATATTTTTTCATCTCGGATACTAACTGAATTTTACCAAAAACAAAATAATTTCAATGCCTGAAGATGACTGAATGTACAGTTGTAAGTACTTGAATATTAAAGAAAGACCTTATACAGCTTATAATTTTTAAAAACAAGCATCATATCATTCATCGAGTGATTTGTAGGTTAATGCACCTTTAAACTTTTGTTAGTGAAGGGATTTTGCCATTTCATATCGTTAACTTTACTAATCTACTTTTTGTATGAATGATTCATTGTAATATAAATTGAACTGCACCACATATTTGATATATATTTGTATATATGCCTGTTTTTTGTATGTTCAAGTGCACATTTTGTTTAGAGATGGAGTTTTATTTTTGTTTATTTTTTTTTTGTAAGTTTATATGTGTTTGTGTAATATATATATATATATATGTGTGTGTGTCTTTTTTCTTTGCTTAGCCAAATATGTGAATTTCAACTACATATATTTATGCATTGTACATAAGCATGTATTGACACATCTTACCTTTATTTGATCCATGTATTTTATCTATGGTTGTGTATGTAAAATGTTTATAGTTGGTTTCTATTGTTTTATCAGTGTAGTTATGCTTAAACTTTGAGTATGATTATTTGTACATGTGTGTGACTGCTTGTATATGCTTTTAACTGTATATACATGTGTGTGACATATTATTATTATGCGAATGTGTTTGTCCTTTCATTTGAAAATTCCCTTCCCTATCTACCTCTTTATTTGAATTCAGACTTCTATATATCAAATATGTGTAGTGATTGTAGATACTTCTTACATCAGCATTGAACTTAACTGATAAAGTGGCCCTTTGCTAAGAACAATAAAATTAATTTTTTCTCCTAGTTTCATTTCTGAATAATTTTGTAATAATATTAAACTTGATGCTCAGTTAAATTGAGAATATGACATTTGTAATTTTTAAGTTTAACTGTGAAATTAAAACTTTATTTGTTTATATTGATTTCTAATTTAATCTAATCTTAACTTTAATGCACTAATAGAGTGTACTTAGGGTATATTGTCACATTATTTTGAGTTACCATATACTTGTAATCTGATTGGTCATCATAAGTTATGTAACAATGTTTCCCCTACGGAGGGAGTTTGGTTGGTTTTTGAACTCTTAAAAGGCTTTAGTTTGAATATATATATAAAATTATATCTCTGTCTGTCTATCTATCTGTCTGTCTGTCTGTCTATCTATCTCTCTCTCTGTCTATCTATCTATATAGATATAAATATACACACACACACACACACACACGCACACTCCCACAAATATACACTTAATACATCCCATTCCCAGCAACCAATAAAACTGTCAAAATGACCAAGGAGGGAATTCTGAAAGTCAGGAATGATCCATCCTCTAACTTAAAAACAACTTAAAAGAGGCCATTTAACAAGCATAAGAACTGAACAAAATTAACAATAAAAAACAAATGAAAACTACAGATAAAGTTCACTTTCTTTGTAGACAGTCATTCACTTCTCTAGTTCACTGCTACAAACAGGGATTTTTTTTTCTGATGATGGCCATGCTGGCCAAAACTAGTCAAGTAACTTAATTGAAATAATAAAACAAAAAATATTAATATACAACCCATTGTGTTTGAAAATTTTAATTTTTTATTATTCAAAACATATACATAAATTTCCACTTGTTAAATAAAAAATTTAATATTCAGTCTTAATTTTTAAACTGAAACATTAGATTATGATGGCCTGTAAAGTCATTAAAAAAAAATTTTTTTTTGTTTTTTTGAAAAATTTTTATTAAAAAAAAATTGGTTATATTTTTTAAATGAAATTTTGAATTATACTTTCAGGAAGAATTTTTTTTTTTTTTTTTTTTTCTGAAAATTTTCAATATTTTCCAACTAGCACTTTTCTCTCTTTGAATTTTCACACATCAACAATTTTTTTTTTTTTTTTTTAACATTTTTTAAATTAAATCTAGATGACCATAGCTTAGCAGCTGATCTCTCCTGCTTCTAACACCTCAATGGTGGGTAGAATTGGCTTGTAACATTCAAAACCAAGCTCATCACTGAGCACACATTGAATTTTCTCCTGTCACGATGAACTGTTGTGCTCTCAGCAAGGCTCTTTGCTTTGCACACCTATTGGTGTTTAAGTTGAAATTATATGATCTATTAATAAAGTCAGGAAAAATGGTCAGTTCCTTGTAGTACTCCAGAAAGTGCCTAGACTCCTCTTGTTCTATCTAGACAAAAGTCAGATCAGACTAAAAATGGTGTATGACTGACATACCTGAACTGAAGCTGCACAATCCTTACTTTCCATCATTGACAGTTTAAAAGTATTTACATAACCTTCTGAGTGATGAATTATTTTCAATTCTACAGACTTTTTCCTATAGATGAAAACATTGCAAGCCTAACCACACTTTTCTATTGCAGATGTTCAGACAATCTGCATTCTTTAGTTCCACCTGTTCAAATATTTATGGCTAAGATCTGCCATGACACATACTCACAGTCAAATCATCTTCATTCACTTTGTATCTCATTGGAAAGAAGAAAGTTTCATTCAGATTACTTCTTCCCAAAAACCTCTAAGTTGTGGAACTGATTCTGAATAGTATCTCCTTCCCCAATTTTAATCTCTTAAGAGTATCCTTCCCCAATCTTAATCTCTTCAAGTCTAGGGGTCAACCACTATCTATCTTGCATATCCTCGTATGTGCTTTTTACTTCCCCCTCTTCTGTCCTTACAACAACCTCACTCAGTATCCCTCTACCTTGAGTGACTCTTGGACCATGTTTTGGGTGAACATTTATTAAAAAAAAAACAACTTTATATTAAAAAATCTTGTTCTATGACTAGTGTTTTAAGTATGAAAATCCTAATCTTTCATCAATTATAAGTTTGTCCATTTTTATACACAAATTTAAATTTATTTTATAATATCTCTGAAGAAAAACAATTTCAGAAAACTTTGATATAATGTCTCAGTAACTGCATTTTTATATTTACTATCAACATTTGACTGAAAATCTCCTCAAAAATAAAACCCCGGAATACTGTATTGTCAATAGTAATGTAATTTTGTAAGTATTTTTTTTCTGAGTTATTTTGAACACCTGATGCTTATACAAATGCTCTGATTTAGTTGTATATTGTGTTCCCAATGAAAAAGAATAAACTAAAGAATACTTATAAGAACAATTTTTATGCACCAGTTATTTGAGAACACATTTTCAGCAAGCAATAAATGGAAGATGACTTAACATAAGTAGCATGCAACAAATTTGAACATGGTCATTTCTCTTTCAGACATATTGAGAGCATTAACATGGCAGTTTCCAATCTAACACAAGAAAAGTTTGTGGCATAGCCATATTGTTTTGGAAATAGCCAGCTTCTTAAAAGTGACCAGGTAAATAGGAGAGACAATAGGTAGCTCTGTGCAAACCTCACAATGTTTACATTTATGGTTATCATGGGAGTTGTGAGAAATGTGAGATATCTCCTCTTCTACCCACTCTATTTCTTCCTGCAGGGATTCAATATACTGGCTACATTGAAGTGCTGGACAGTCAAATCTTGCACAAAGAGTGGAGGGTAATATGTTCCAGCAGGTTTTTTTTTTCTTCCTCTTGATGGCTTGTGTGATTCAGGAGTAGCTATCTTGTGATCTGACTCCACTATTATGTCTGCTATGTTAATGAGAGAAACATCAATAAATAGTGCTCACAGTAGCAAAGGCTCATTGAAGGCTGTCATTGTAGATGTGCTAACATGAACATCAGGACTACATCAGGGCCAAAGACATTTTATTCAATAACATTTTTCTGGTTTTTTTTTTTTTTTTTTTTTTTTTTTTCAGTTACCTGGCACATATTTTATATTAGCAAAAATATTTTAGTTTTCTCTTTTTAATCTGCTTTTACATCCCATTTTTATTTTGTTTTTTCTTTTTTTTTTCTTCTTTTCTCTAGTCTGACGTAAACAGACTATGATGTTCATTGATAATCCCCAGAAAGAAGCAATGTTTCTCCAAAATTGACTGCTGGGAAAATATGACTTTTGGTGAGCTACATCAAAATAAAAAATTAAAAATGCTTAGCTACAAATGTTCTAGCAAGCATCTGATTTACATTATATTTATACTTACATTTATATATATATATATATATATATATATATATATATATATATAAAAATGGTTAAGTTGGATTCTTAAAAAAAAAAAATTTTTTAAATAAATGAATTAACCTTAATATTTTTCCTTTACACTTTGCATTTTCTGCATTCTTTTTGAATAGGCAAATTTTTCATGAGGTACTTTTTTGGACGATACAATTACTGAAGACATGTTCACATGGAATTTTGACCATTGTTCATAGGAACTGATCATTATAGATTGGCAATATTTTGGGGATTTTTTTTTGTTTTTCATTTAAACAATATCTTTTAGCCATTTTTCCATTTGAAGCTAAATGTAAAATACTGTACTATATTTTTTTCTGTCATAAATGTATATTGTTTGCATGGCCACGTTTTGTAATGTAAATGCATTCATTGATCAATTTTAATTGATACCATAGTTTTGAGTATTAGTTACAAGAAATAAATATTTTACAAAAGCTCTTAATGATTTAAATATAGGATGGAATCCATAAAGAACTCCTTACACATTTTCAATCTATTGAAAAATTAGATACTATTTTTCATAAGTCTTCTAATTCTAGATATTGTAAGAAACTTTTAATTGATATCCTATTAAGTTTACTTGTCTATTTATGCTTATAAATTCTTAAGCACAACACTTGCCCATGAATACTAAATTCATCATTTTTCTTGTGACTGAGGGTTGTTTTGTAGATAGAATTTACCGGCTGATTATTCATTAACTTAGGCTTTAGATTGAATTTCATTTGTTGAACAAATTTGTAAGATTTTTCTCAAACAAGAAGCCAAAACATTCTGATGTTTTAATGTTACTTCACTTATTTAACTTATATAATGCTAGGTGTCCTATTTTACAAGCAATTTTGTTCCTCATAAATTGGAGAAAATGAATATATTAGATGCGATTAATTTTATTTCCCATCATTGTGTATAGTATTTTGTGTATCATTGTGTATAATAATGTTTAAAAGATAATACCAATGTTTTTGCCCATATTTTATCCACATATTTGTCTTGTTTAATATTTATAATATTTTGTCCATTTTAATATGTAAAACATCTCCAACAAAAGTGAATTGAGAACTCCTGTAGTTTGAATAAAAACAACAGTTTGAAATTCCAAAAAGATCTACATTGGAAAAAGTTCAGAGGTTATAATGGTCAAAACGTTGAGAGTATAACACCAAAGATTGCTATTGTTGATCCCAAATAATAAGGTATATAATGTTAAGTATGAATTGTGAAATTGTTAGACATTTTGGAATAAAAGAAATAATTTCTATAATTATTTATGAATTAAAATATTGATTTGAATGCTATGTTGTATAATTGAAATCCAGTTTTGTTTTCATTTATAAGCTCAAAAGGTTTTCAACTGAGAAATCATAAGATGTTTTTAATGTGTGATATGTTTTGAAAAAATATGTTAAATTGATGGTAAAATATTTTTTTCCTCTTAATCATAAGTTGGAATGTTATGGTATTTCTGAACAAATTTTTGATCTGATTCAATTGTTCTTATCCAATTGTGAAATGAAGTTATCCTGAATGGCCACTGTTCTAGGTATTTTTTGCATTAATGTGGGTGTCCTTCAAGACTCCATCCTTTGACATACATTGTCCTTCATGTTCATCAACAGCCTTTCTGCTCATCAAAGAACTTTCATTTCTCAATTCGGTACCTACAATGATTATTTCTGTCTTAATGCTAAGTCTGATCAGTTCTATAAAGTCAAATTGGTGACTGCTCTCAAAAATGACCTTCATTGTGCTGTTAACTGGGGCAAGAAATGACTTAAAAATGAAACTGCTGTCTTTTAATCAACTTAAAGATCCTTTTTTTTTTTTTTTTGCTTTCTATCCACATGGCTGATGCTAACCTATAGGAGAGTGACTCATTGCGACTTCTTGGGCTAACGTTTTCTGCTGACATTAAGTGGAGCGATTCTATTGAATCAATTGCTAGGTCTGCTGCAAAAAAAATTGGTTCACATTGTAGTGCTAGACAATCTCTCACCAGAATCTATATACCATTCATCTATGCATTGAATATTCCTGCCTTATCTTGTCTGATGCTTCTGCTATGTATTTAGAGTCTTAATAAAATGCATAGAAGAATGTACAATATTATCAGTCCTGACCTGGCATCTTGGCTTCACTCACTTTCCCACCACCATAAATTGTATCTTTTCTATAAATATTTTAATGGTAATTGTTCTGATGTGCTTTCCTCTTTGATACTTCATCCTTATGAATTTAAGTGCACTATTAAATTGGTAACTTGGTCTCATCATTTTACATTTTAAACTGCTAGATATAACCGTAAGTTCTATGCTAACAGTTTCTTCTCTCACACTTCTCGATTTTGGTACTTTCTTCTGGTTTTTTGCTTTCCAGTCAACTTTGGTCTTCAAAATATTAAATGCAATGTCAATCGTTATCTTGTCTTAATTCCTATCCTTTTATTGTTCTCTCTCCTTCATTTTTTCTTTTTTCTCTCATTCTTTTACAAACAGTTACCCCCAAGTGGCCTAATTTTTGATTGTAATAAATTTATCAAGGAAAGTAAATTGAGAACAAAAATACTAATTTATCTCCCTTATACTTAAATTTCAAATCGTCAATATTATTTTTGAATAATTTCAATGCTAGTATCCTCCTTTTTCATCTTTTGATTCATATATCATATTTTATATAGTGGGTGAGAGGTGCAAATAAAACATAAATCCTGTTCATAAAGAAATTTACCATGTATTATGAGAATAATTAATTCTTTTCAAATCTATAAGTTAGTTAACTTATAGCAAACCAATGCACGTTTTTAATATATATATATATATATATATACACACACACACACACATACATACACACACACCCCTCTTAAAAAACATTACCAAAACTCATGGAATTATCAGATTTCATTGAAAGTTTCAGCATTTATTCATCAATACATGTACTTGATACTAAATCTTTTTTGTTGTTTTATTTGTTTCTTTTCATCACCCCCTCCACTTTATTTAATTGGTACTAGCAAATTTTGGATGTTCCTGATTTTTACATTCTTATAAATCTAAATACATGAAGGTGTTCTATCAAGAACAGAAAAAAATGGATAAAAGTTGAAGAAAACTCAAATTATTTTTGTGGAGTGTGGTTGATATTGAATTTTAATAAAAGACATTGTATATTTTCTGTTTACACAGGGAAAAAAATTCTATGATTTATATTTGTTTGCAAAAGATTGACTTTTATTTTTACGGTATGATTTTAAAATACTTGAACATTGCTAATGAAACTTATATATAATAAAGATATTTGAAGAATCAAAAAATGTAAAGTTTAATTTTATTTTTGAATGCAAACTTTTTTATTTTTATTTTTTCATGGAAACTTAAAATGAAATTTAAAATAAAATACTGAGTTATGTCCCATGTTTAACACAATTCCACTTCGAATGTCAGTTTCTTGATCATGCTAATTATAGTCTTCCATAATTGAGTGGGTTTTTTGGCAGGAATTCTGCACAGTATGGTAGCAATTGTTTGACCTATCAAGCTGTTGACAAACAAGAACATGCCCTTCTAGAGTAAAATGTATTTTTCATTATATTTTTTGCAAAGATTAAATTTTAAAAAATCTAATTTTTTAATCTATTATTTTCCTATGAAACAAATGCCTGGGACATAGATTTTAAAGAGCTTTAAAAGTATTTTAATTTCTCTTTTATAGGTGTTCATCGTATTCGCTCATTGAATTGTGTGGCAGTAAATTTTTTTATATTTGCTTTAAATTTGTTTTATTTGTTTAAAAATGTCTATAAAAGAAAAATGTACATAAATTTTTCTTTTTCTATGAATTAATTTCAGGCCAATATCTTTCAAATAAAAACCTAATTTATCTTCAAAATAGACATTTAAATTATTTAACATGCGTTTTTCATATCCCCTACCCCCAAGAGTCCATGAATGAAGTACACCAAAAAAAAAAAATGTATTTTTATAAATTTACCAACTCACCTCAGGCTGACAGACAGCAACACAAATTCATGTTGACCGCTTTAGAGTGAATGTCCTCCATTTGTAAGTATGGTAATAGAATCTAGCTTATGCACTGAAGTATAAAATAAAATCAGTTTTACATTGAAAACAATTGCAAAATAATTCATTGGTTTGCATGTAAACATGAGAAACCAATGCAGTATCTATTAGTAAGTCTTTATGTACATTAACTTGTAATATAAATTGTAATATAATTCTACAAATTCTCTTGAAAGTAATGTAGGCGATTTACATTTATTTGTTCAAAAGTAGCCATATTAGCTATGATGTAGCTAATATGAGAATGATGACAACTGAAAAGCAAATGTGATTACAAGTTTGCACATTCGTAGATATCACATCAACAGCCATCTAATATTTTTTAAAGTTATTTTAATAATAGTTGCAGAGAATATTTTCTCAATATCAATGAATTTTACAGTTATATAAAGAAATCCCTGAAAATTTTATTTCAGTAAAAAAAAAAAAAAAATTGTGCAGTAGCCATCATGAACATAACATACTGAAAATTTGTCCTGAAGTTTACAAAAACTTATTCAATAAAATTCAAATATGTTATAATAAAACATTTTCTCTCAGACTTGATGAGAAAAAAAAATGTACGTTCAATATTTATTTTTATTTTATATTTATTGTAAAAATAAAATAAAATAAAAAATCTTTTTTTTCTTTTTTTTTTTTTCTTTTTTTTTAATAGAGTTCAGGACAAATTTTCAGTAACTCTGTTGAGGATTTTTTTTTTTTTTTTTTA